CACGGCCATTCTGGCTCCGCCCCCACATCTCCATGCAGGTCTCCTGCTCCTGCTCCCAGCCCCTGCGTGTGAGAGCTGTGTCGGCTGCCCGGCGCCCCTGCTGCTATGGCACCTGGTGCAGCCACACAGCTCACTGATCTCTAAGCCTGGCCAGCCCTGGTGGCACCCCCCTACCTCATGGCACCTGGGGCGGACCGCCCCCTCCACTGACTGGCAGTGTTGGTGGCTTCCCTGGGGTCCAGTGGAGAACAGGCTGACCAGTTACAGGACAAGAGCAGGAGCTGTGATAGTTGCTGTGGACTGCTATTCTTCATTCTGGATTCCTGTTCAAAAGTGCTGGGAGGATGTGATCTTAAATGGAGGATTTCCCTGCAATCACTTCTTGGTTTGCATTAACAGGTATCTGAAATCCCACTGGAGCTCATGATAGGCCAGATCCTGTTTATCTCTGGCAGCCTGGTGTGTCATGGGTGGAACATGTGCCATAGGTTGCTGCTCTAGTGAAAAAGCTTTACTTAAATCAATACAAAAATACTAGATGACAAGTTACCAGGAGATATTCACAAAATTGTTTCTTGTAAAACATAGGAGTAATCTGGGAACCTCCATAAAGTGTCTGTCTTCAGCCCTCAGTGATAGAGACTACCATCACACATAGCTATTTAGTCAGCCAGCCAGTCAGCCAGTAGCCATTAGTTACAAGTATTTTTTTTTATTGCTCTATTTTATTTACTTTGTTTCATTATTATTATTTTTATGTTATTTTTTATATAGTTCCAACAAATTCCGCAGTGCTTTACAGTGGGTGGAAGAACAGACATGTAGTTGTGACCAGACAAGTTGGACACACAGGAACAGAGGGGTTGAGGGCCTTGCTCAATGAGCTTACATGCTACAGGGAGTGGGGTAAAGTGACACAAAAGGTAAGGATAGTATTAGACTAATGACTAATGACAGTTGCAAGAGAGGAATCAGTTGTGAGCTATTAGTTTAATGGATACGCTTTTATGAAGAAGTGGGTTTTTAATGATTTTTTGAAGGCCTGGAGACTGGGTGAGCAGCTAATGGAGGAGGGAAGTGAGTTCCACCGGAATGGTGAAGCACTCGAGAAGTCTAAAAGGCGAGCATCAGAGGTGGGAGTATGGACAGAAGATAGACGCAAGTCTTCAGCAGAGCGTAAGGGCCTAGATGGGACATACTTGTGTATTAGGGAGGATAGACAGGTGGGAGCAGCATTATGTAGAGATTTAAAAGCAAGAACCAGAATTTTAAATTGAGCTCTACATCTTACAGGAAGCCAATGTAGGGACTGACAGAAGGGTGAGGCGTGGGAGGTGCGGGTGGAAAGGAAGATGAGCCTCGCCGCTGCATTCATTATGACTGTAACGGTGCAAGTTGGGAGCACGTAAGACCACTGAGAAGTGGGTTACAGTAGTCAAGGCAAGAAAGGACAGTGGAATGGACCAGCACCTTGGTCTCATCTGGTCGGATGCACGCAATGTTTTTGAGATGGAAGCGGCAGGATTTGGCGATAGTCTGAACATGAGGCGTGAAGGAGAGGTCGGAGTCAAAGAGAACACCTAGGCAGCAAGCCTGTGTGGTGGAGCTGATGGTAGCACCGTTGACTTGGAGGGAGACAGACACAGGAGTAGCAACACTTGAGGGAGGAGAGACCAAAATTTCAGTTTGGTCAAGTGGAGTTTAAGGAAATGGGCAGCCGTCCTGTTAGAAATAGCAAAGAGGCAGTCAGAGACACTAGTCCAGAGGGACAGGGAGAGATCAGGAGAGGACAGGTAAATTTGCATGTCATCCGCATAGAAATGATATTGGAAGTCAAAGGAGCTAATGAGTTTTCCATTGGAGGCAGTATAGATAGAGTAGAGGACTAAGAACTGAACCTTGGGGGACACCAACAGAGAGGAGTTGGGAAGAAGAAGCAGAGCCAGAGAAAGAAACACTGAAAGAGCGCTGGGGGAGGTAGGAGGAGCACCAGGAGAGAGCAATATCTTGTAGACCGATATTGCGGAGGATGAGAAGAAGCTGTTGATGATCAACAGTGTCAAAAGCCGCAGACAGGTCAAGGAGAATTAGGATAGAGTAGTGACCATGAGATTTTGCAGCGAGTAGATCATTGGATACTTTGGTAAGTGCCGTTTCCAGAGAGTGCTTAGTACGGAAACCAGACTGAAGTTGGTCTAGCAGAGAGTTGGACTCAAGGAAGTCTGTCAAGCTCACATACACAACTCTTTCAAGGATCTGGGATGCAAAAGGCAGTAGCGAGATAGGATGGTAGTTAGATGAGGAGTTAGGGTCAAGGTTGGGCTTCTTTAGAATTGGGATTACAGTTGCATGTTTGAAGGGCGATGGAAATATGCCAGAGGAGAGAGAGAGATTGAGAATTTTAGTGAGAGGTGGAGAAAGAAGAAGACAGAGTACGGATGAGATGCAAGGGAATTGGATCTAGGGAGAAAGTGGTGGGGCGGGAGGACTGGAGCAGAGCAGAAACCTCTTCCACGTTAGCGGGTGCGAATGATCATAGAACAGCAGATCTGTAGATGCATACAATTGGCACACCGTGGCAATCAGTTTTAGAGGCATAAAATTGGCACACCATGGAAATCGCTTTAGATCTATACAATTGGCACACCGTGGCAATCAGCTTTACAGGCATACATTTGGAACATTATGGCAGCTTTAGATGCATAAAATTGGCACACTATAGCAATCTGCTGTAGATGCATACAATTGGCACACCGTGGCAATCAGTTTTAGAGGCATAAAATTGGCACACCATGGCAATCCGCTTTAGATGCATACAATTGGTATATCATGGCAATCAGCTTTAGATGCATAAAATTGGTACATCATGGCAATCCATTTTAGATGTATAAACTTGGCACATCATGGCAACTTTAGGTGCATAAAATTGGCACACCATGGCAATCAGTTTTAGAGACTTACAACTGGTACACCATGGCAACAAGCTTTAGAGGCATAAAATTGGCACACCATGGCAATCGGTTTTAGAGGCTTACACTTGGCACACCATGGCAACCAGCTTTAGAGGCATAAAATCGGAACATCATGGCAATCAGTTTTAGAGGCATAAAATTGGAACATCATGGCAGCTTTAAATACATAAATTTTGCACACCATGGCAATCAGCTTTAGATGCATAAACTTGGCATATCATGGCAATCACTTTTAGATGCATAAACTTGGTACATCATGGCAATCAGCTTCAGAGGCATACAATTGGCACACCATGGCAAACAGTCAGATGCATACAATTGGCACACCATGGCAAACAGTCAGATGCATAAAATTGGCACACCATGGCAATCAGTTTTAAAAGCATAAAATTGGCACTCCATGGCAATCAGCTTTTAGATGCATATAATTTGCACACCTTGGCAATCAGCTTTAGATGCATAAAAATGGCATAACATGGCAGTTTTGGAGGCAGAAACTTTGCACATCATGGCAATCAGTTTTAGAGACATACAACTGCTTACTCACAGACTCAGAATCAGAAGTGCTGTTGTCCTTCTCTTTCATCCAGGCACCTCACGTTGATTGTCCCAGTGGTGGAACTAATGTAGAGAGGGCCCTGGTGCAAGCATGTTTTCTGGGCCCCCGTTTAGTGCAAGTGTGGCCAAAAGGTAGATCTCCATCTGTCAGAGAACAATGCTGTGCCAGATGGGGAGCTACCATTTGCGCATCATTGCAGGGTTATATTTGTGAGCAGTGTTTGAGTGTTTGAATGTAATATGTGTGCATGTATGGGTGTATTTGTATGCACTGTTGCCATTGGAATGTAGTGGTGTACTTGTTTGTAATGTTTGCGTCTGAATGCATGGGTGTTTGTATGACTTTAAATGCAGGTGTGCTTTTTGTTTGTAGAGTTGGTGTTTGAATGAAAGGGTGTTTGTATGTAATATTTGCCTTTGATTGCAGTGCGTGTGTAGTGGATGCCGTGTGTCTGTGTAGTGGATGCCATGTGTGTATATTGTGTTTATAAAATATACATATACACAATATGTGTTTGAATGTAAGCATGTTTTTTGTATGGAGTATGTGTGCAGTGTATACACATACACACATACAGAGACACAAACAGACACACACATACACACACTGGCACAGTGATACACACAGACAGACAATGACACCTAGTTTCCCACACACAGATACACAGACACTCATGTACACAGATACACCCTGGCACACAATACACACAGACACACATACATGCAGAGACAGGAGGCGAGGGTGACAGTGTGTGGGAGAGGTGAGAGTGACAGTGTGGGAGGGAGTGTGTGTATTGGTAACAGTGTGGGAGGCAGTGTGAGGGCAGGAGGAGAAAGGGTTACAGTGGGCAGGCAGGGAGAGAAGGGGTTACAGTGGGGGGGGGAGGAATGGGCCATTGTGGGGGAGGGCAGTGAGTGAAGGGGGTTACAGGTGGGAGGGGACAGGGAGTGAAGGCGCTACAGTGGGGAGGTGGGCAGGAGCGGGCTACATTGAGGGGGAAGGAGATTGTGGGTTACAGTGGGGGGCAGGGAGGAAGGGCAGTGGGGGCAGGAGGAAGGAAGACAGGGGGGAGGGGGGAGGGGAGTGAAGGGGTTACAGTGGGGAGGGGGGGCAGGGAGTAAAGTGGTTACACTGAGAGGGGCAGGAGAGTAGGGTTACAGTGGGGGCAGGAGGAAGGGGTCACAGGGGGCAGGAGGAAGGGGTCCCAGGGGGGCAGGGGAAGGAGCTACAGGGGCAGGGAGGAAGGTTACATGGGGGAGGGCATGGAGGAAGGGGTTACAGGGGTGGCAGGGGGGCAGGGAGTGAAGGGGTTACAGTGGGGGGAGAGGGGCAGGGAGTAAAGGGGTTAGATTGAGGGGGCAGGGAGAGTAGGGGTTACAGTGGGGGAGCAGGGAGAGAAGGGGTTACAGTGGGGGGGAGGGGGCAGGGAAATAGCAAAGAAATAGCAAAAAATAGGGCCTCCGCCCAAGCTAGTCTGTTGCCAAGTATTGCCCAGCACCTTCGATGTTCCAGTGATTCTTGAGCCTCTGCAGTGCCTCACTGGGAGCACAGCGGGAGACACTGGGAAAGTTGGGCTTGTAGCCTCTGCAGGACACCTCTTTGCTGGCACTTATGGATCTTGCTCCAAAGATTACATCCAGTTTGGCCTCCAGATCGTAGTGTGTATTGCTGGGGTCAAGAAGCCACGTTGTGTCCCTCATGTTAGGTGAGACACCAAATATTCCACCAACTGCAATGGCTTCCCCTTTCCGACCTGTCAGATCCTGGTGATCCGGGGAAATGGGGCTCTTGCACAAGTATAGTTGCTTTGGGACACCAGGAGATCAGCCACCTCTCCTGCCTTGAACACACTAGGCCTCATGTGCCATGGTGGGGTAGGTAAGCGCTCAATAAGTCACTGACTGCGTCACCATATGTCGGGTTGATCGACGAGCAAACCCTTCACTCAATCGGTGCCAGTTGAGTCAAATGATGTTGCAGAGAGCAATTTATTGCAAGCTAGTGGAGGAGCTTGCTCAAAACGTGTCTCTCCGCCATGATAGTCAGGCCTTACCATTCAGAATTAAGGTATTTTAATTAGGTTTAGGTAGTGAATGATTACATTTGGGACTAAGAACAGGATTTGTTTAGCTTTTGGGAAGGGTTAAATGTAGGACTATTTAGGATTTTCATAGCACTCACCCTGCAATGATTGGTGGTAGAGTTGCAGGAACTGTTGTACAGTGTGCATTACTCACAGCTTCCCCTGCTCTTCCAACAAGTTATTTCCTGGGTGACATGTTGTTAGTGGGTAGGTGGAAAGTGATCCCTTCCACTTTGCACCCTCTACAACTGTTCCCAAAGCTCTGCTATCAAGCATAGGAGGCTGACTGGACTACAGAGAACACTGGCCAAGCCTACTAGCACTTCCGATCAGTCCCATTAAGTTCAAATAGGTACATTATATATAATCCTACAGGACATGTGTCTATAGGCAAGTGCCTCACCTGCCTACTAGGAAATCTGCCCGAGTTTCTAAATGCTCGCTTTTGCTAAGGGAAACATAGTGCAGATATGATTTTGATTACTTGTAGACAATATTGCAAAATGTTGGAATATTTGCTTTTCCTGGGGGAAATTAGAGTCCGGGTATGAATTTAATTGCTTGCAAATGATATTGCAAGCATTTGGAAATATTTTGAGGTTTTTGCGCATTGTGTTTTGTGGGCAACAAACAGAAATCCACCCTGTCTACTTCCCACTCAGCCACTCAGTTCAGTTTCTAAACTTTAAGAAAGACTGTATCTCCTTTGTTCTGAAGTTGCCCAAGTGAAAATCTGAAAGGAGATTCAATGGGTCTTGCCTGAGACTAGGTTAGATAGTGAGCCATCTCTCCTTGTCTCCTTGTCTAGTCAGGTGATTTTTCTCAGGCCTTTTCACTACAGGGTGATGCAGCATCTGAAAGTCGAGTTTCTGTTAATATAACCATCATAAGATCAGTGCATTCCTCTGTCACTGGGGGCTTCTAAACATGCAAGCCTGGAATGGGCAAGTTATATTTGACCTGACTCAGCCTTCATTTTGGAATCTGATACTAGGTTGGGGGCCACTTGCTTGGACTGTACTTATGGGGTGTTTGATCTGATGAGGAGGCTTCTATGCACATCAGTTGTCTATAAAAGAAGAAAAAATGCAGGTTGTTGACACCATAAGCTTATTTACGTTTTATTTTAAGTATTTAATGTGTCAGCTGGCTTTACTTATTCATATACCTTGATATGCTCATTATTACTACTGATATTATTATTGCATAGTTAGTGCTTTGTGTAAGATATAAAATGGATAACATCTATTAAATCAATACACTCATAATACAAAAAAATAATAGGCAAATTTAATATATAATCTCATGTTCCAAAACAAGATCAGATTCACAATTCAAACTGAAATGTAACCAAGCATTTAAATGGAAGATCCATTTTCCCTCTTGCCCATGGCTGCAGCAGTCAACTCTGTGTGCACGCCAAGGACTCCGGCGTGCCCAGCATTGTAAACAGCCGACCACCGTTCCTGCAACACGTTGACGCGGTGCTGCGGCTTTCCACACTACGTTACGACCCGTGTGAAGTCCCAGCCGTAGCAACGTGTGATTCTACTTTCACTAGGCACGCGCGCTGCAGAATACCGGCCTCTTAAAGGAACAGTACACCTGAAATTGTTAAAAGGACTAATCACCTTCGATCCAATAGAATGTGAGAGGTGGATACCTTTCCCCTATATAATCGCAGTCTACCTCTACCTCATTGCTCAGTTCTACTGTACTTACTGTGGTGTCAAATTCAGTGTGAATATCCTGCCTTATTTGATTTATCGTCTCTGAACCCATGCCGCCTGAACTGACCCCTGGCTTTCTTCGACTACGAATTTGGTTTTTCCTTTGGTACTTCGCCTTGGCTTATTCCTGCCTCCTGGACTCTTGTCGTCAAATACGTGACAGACGTAACAGGAGAAGGCCATCACACAAGTGCCTGCTGCTTCACAGGCCTTACCACAGCTGCCCACCCATGTGGACCAACTTCTTCGAGCTTTGGACTGCCTGTATATGTTTGAGCTCTTACTTTAACCACCACTCCTATATGCTAAACCAAGGCCTTCCAGATCTGGTCTGATGACTGATGCTACAGAGTAGGGTTTCTCCCGTGCAGCATCACTGAGGCAGAGACGCATGAGGCTGGTGCATAAACGCTGAAGGTATGACTTCCATGCCTTTTCCCACTCACCGGGACAGTAAGGCATCAGAAATCATTTACCCAAAGATGGATAAGCATGGCTTGGTGTGTGGGGTAGGAGATTCACAAACACAGGCCCCAGCTGTTGGATGCAGTTGGATGCCAGAGAGCCTCATGCCGAAGTCTTGAAATGTGGGTTCGGTGGGGCGTTCCCATCAATATAGCTAGACAACATATTTTTCGTGGCAGTGTCTTCATCTCTAAGGGCATTTCCTGAGCGGGCTACAGATCCCATCTATAGCAGGACTGTTTTCCTATCAGCTACGCTTGTATCAGATATGATTCTTTTGATTCTTTTTTATTTTATTTTATTAATCTGCTAAGATTGAACAGCAGCTGTAGATTAAAACAAAAAAGGGTGAACTTGGTGGATAGTACCGCCACAAAAAAGATCACTCAGTGGAGCGCTGGATTCATTATCTTACCCCTAATTGTATTTGGGGAAATCAAATATCACTTATAAGTATAACAATAGGTCTAGAAAAAAGATGAGACATAATGGTGCAGTATGCCAGGGCACTATGGATAAAATGGAAGGGGGAGTATATATCCAACTCACATGGTGAAGAGTGTGGAGATAGGCTAAAATCACAGCAGCCTTAGGTATATACAGTTATACCAAACCTCCTCCAGATAAACAGCTCACAGATGTAGGACTATATGTAAAGAGAACACAGAATATCCTAGTGCAGATATGTATGTACAGGTGAACAATCAAGAGAAACAGTGCATGAAAAGTGCTCACCTGAATTGGAGCCTGTTATACTAGGCGTGTAGACGCCTATGTGCCTTTACGGGAGGCACTACCCCTCTTGAATCAGGATCCAGGAAGCAGTGGAAGATTCACTCATGTAGTATATATAAAAAAATAACAATTTATTGGGGATTACAAAAAAAATATAATTAAAAACCACATTGGGGATATCCCAATAATAAAATCAGTGTGGAGATCTTCCTTGATGGTCCTAGATGCGTAGGGCTTTCTCAATCGGATGAATTTGCTTCCTGAATGGGCAGCACTTAAATTCCTAGACCGCCTGCTTGATTGGTGTTCACTTTCATTCGGCGGCCAATCGTGCCACATGTAGTGCGGAGGTGTGTCTCCACAGCTGTTCACTGTCGGTCCAGGAACTCCGAAACCGGAAATGACTCCACGTGTATCTCTTTAAAGCATCCAGTGTTATTTATCTCTCTTGTTAGTATAAAGAGGTTTTTGTACTTGCATTTCTCTTTCTGGTTTACACTAATAGAACTGAGATGTTGTTTTTTTTACCAATTTTAATACGTGCAACCTGTCATCTGTTAGTTATTTGCGGAGTATTTGTATACATTTTGACTGAGATATCACTCTATTGGAATATTCATGCTATATCTTTGCACAGCGGATAACATGTTTATTTTTTTTATTTTTTTTTATTTTTGCAGTGCATAAATGTACAATCAGGCTTGAGGTTCCCCTAACAGCATTCCACAAGCTAATCAGCATATATAACATTAGGACACATTAGAAAACTTGCACAATTTTGTAATTAATATCTTGTTAGGCATTCATGACTAAGTTCATATCAGGACTGTATAGGCTCTAGTAGCTCTGCTAAGACGTGCACAATATAACTCATTATATCCTCACATAAGAGAGTAGGTCATGTAGCACATTACCATTGCCATGTGAAGTAGCTGAATATCAAATTAAAAAAAATGTTTTTTTGTTTGCTTTTTTAAATATTGTCTAGTCACATAAGAGATGAATGCAACATGAATCCAGTTTGTGCAGCAATGAAAGCTGAAATTAATCAGACGATGCGAAAAATACATAAAAATACAATATATATTGAGACATGTGACAACACTGAAGAAATGACACTCTGCTACAATTTAAAGTAGTAAGTGTACAGCCTAGTGGTGATCACAAGCCTGTATAACAGTGTAAAATTGCTGTCCTCTCAAAATAACTCAACACACAGCCATTAATGTCTAAACCATTGGCAACAAAAGTAAGTACACCCCTAAGTTGAAATGTCCAAATTGGTCCCAATTAGCCATTTTCCCTGCCCAGTGTCATGTGACTCGTTAGTGTTACAAGGTCTTAGGTGTGAATGGTGAGCAGCTGTGTTAAATTTGGTGTTATCGATCTCACACTCTCTCATACTGGTCACTGGAAGTTCAACAATGCACCTCATGGCAAATACTCTCTGAGGATCTGAAAAAAAGAATTGTTTCTCTACATAAAGATGGCATAGGCCAAGCATGTCAAACAGTGCACAAGGGACATCTTTGCGGCCCGGCGAGCCACAAGCACATGCTCAGTGTTATAGCAGAGTAGGCACCTGCTTTCCCCACATTGCAGGTACCTACTCTGCTAAAACTTACCCGGCCGGGGAGGAGGGCCAGCGAGGGAGCTCAGTGTTCCTGCTCCTCACAGCTCCCTTGCACGTGCCGTCTGTAGTGAAGCCGGGCACTGGAACATGACGTCATATTCTGGCATCCGGCGTCACTAAACCGCGCAAGAGAGCAGTTAGGAGCAGATAGAAGGACTC